TAGTTGTCTTCCAAATTTCTTGGCATAGATGAGTGAGTGCCTCCTGTGCTGCCTCACTTTCTTGAAAGACTTCCATTTTTATTCTATTAATTTCTGGTGCCTTGTTCTTTGCCAATTCCTTCAATGCATCTTGGACTTCCTCCTTCAGTATCATTGGCTCTTGATCACATGCTACCTCTTCAAATGGTTGAACATCAACCATTTCATTTTGGTACAGTGACTCTGTGTATTCCTTCCATCTTCTCTTGATACTTTCTGCATCATTCAATCTTTTGTCCAGAGAATGCTTCAGTAAAAAAAGTCGAGGCTTGAATTTTTTCTTCAGTTCCCCAGCTTGAGAAATGCTGAGCGTGGTCTTCCTTTTCGGTTTTCTGACCCCAGATCTTTGAACACTTTGTTGTAATATTTGACTTTATCTTCTCGAGCTGATCTTTGAAATTTTCTGTTCAGCTCTTGGACCTCCTTATTTCTTCCATTTGCTTTAGCATCTCTACTCTCTACAGTGGAAAATAAGTTTCAGTGTCTCTTCTGACCATTTTGACCTTTTCCTTTTTTCTTGTCTTCTTAATGACTTTTTGCTTTCTTCATGCATGATGTTTTTGATGTCATCCCACAACTCTTCTAGTCTTCGGTCTTTAGTGTTTAATGTATCAAATATGCTCTTCAGATGATCTCTAAATTCAGGTGGGATACATTCAAGGTCATATTTTGGCTCTCATGGACTTGTTTTCATTTTCTTCAGTTTCAGTTTGAATTTGCATATTAGCAATTGATGGTCTGTTCCACAATCTGCCCCTGTCAGATTGTTTTGACTGATGATATGGAGCTTTTCCATCGTCTCTTTCTCCAGATATAGTCAATTTGTTTTCTATGTATTCCATCTAGCATCTTTCATGCTGTCAAAAGAACATATTTGAAATGAACAAATCATTGATTTTGCAGAATTCTATCAATGCGATCTCCAGCATCATTTCTATCACCAAGGCCATATTTTCGAATTACTGCTCCTTCTTCTTTGCTCCCAACCTTTGCATTCCAATCACTACTAATGATCAATACATCTTGATTGCATGTTTGATCAACTTCAGATTGAAGAAGTTGGTAGAATTCTTCTATTTCATCCTCACTGGCTTTAGTGTGGTTGGTGAGTAAATTTGAATCATAGTGGTATTAACTGGGCTTCCCTGTTGTTGTTTTTGTCAGGTGCCATTGAGTCAGTACTGACTCATAGTGATCTTATGCACAGCAGAACAAAACACTGCCTGATCCTGTGCCAACCTCACTATTGTTGCAACACTTGAGTTCATTGATGCTGCCACTTGGCCAATCCAACTCCTTGGGGGTCTTCCTCTTTTTCTCTGATCCTCCACCTTACCAAACATGATATCCTTCTCCAGCAACTGGTCTCTCCTGACAATATGTCCGAAGTATGAGAGACGAAGTTTGGCCATCTTGACCTCCAAGGAGCGCTCTGGCTTCACTTCTTCCAAAACAGATCTGTTGGTTCTTTTGGCAGCCATGGCACTTTCAGTATTCTCCTCCAACACCACAACTCAAATACATCAATTCTTCTATGGTCTTCCTTCTCTACTATCCAGCTTTCGCATGCATATGAGGTTATTGAAAATACCGTGGCTTGGGTCAGGCACACCTTAGTCCTCAAGCTGACATCTTTGCTCTTCAACTCTTTAAAAAGGGCTTGTGCAGCAGATTTGCCTAATGCAATACGTCATGTGGTTTTTTGACTGCTGCTTCCTTGAGTGTTGATGGTTGATCCAGGAAAAATGAAGTGCTTGACAACTTCAATCTTCCAACCTGAGAGTCTCATTTTCCGGCATTATATCTGACAGTGTTTCTCTGCTATTCATAAGGTGTTCAGTGACTAAATATTTGGAAGTAGTTTGTCACTCCTTCTTCCTAGTCTGTCTTCGTCTGGAAGCTCATCTGAATCCTGTCTATCATGAGTGACCCTGCTGGTTTTTAAAATATTGGTGGCATAGCTTTCAGAATCACAGCAACTCACAAGCCACCACAGTACGAAAAACTGACAGACAAGTGGTGGGGTGTTCCCTGTAGTTGCATGGATATTATCCTATCACAGACAGTGTTGTACCTCATGACTGATCTGGATATGCTCTCTTTGAGAATAAATGCAACACCATTCCTCTTCAATTTGTCATTCCTGACATTAGTAAACTATGTGGTTGTCAGATTCAAAATGGCTAAGACGAGTCCATTTCAGCTCATTAATGCCTAAGATACCGATGTTTATGTGTTCCATTTCATTTTTGACAATTTCTAATTTTCCTAGATTCATACTTCATACATTCCATGTTTTGATTATTAATGGGTGTTTACAGCTATTTCTCTTCATTTTGACTCATAAGGCAGTGATATCAAAAACAGACTCCCTTTGTGATAGTGGGAATGAGTGAGCAGGGAACTATACCTGGTTTCCAGTCTCACAGCAGCCCCAGCATCTAGTTTCTGGAGGATTGGCAGTACAAGTAGTCACAGCAGCAGTAGCAGAGATGCTGTCCTCACTGGATCATTTTAAAATCATAAACAGGTAATGCATCTTATTGAATTGTTTTCTGTATTATTTGAGATAATCATAAAGTTCCATATTTCTCTCTCTCTCGTCTATGTCCCTGGCTTTATCCTGGCAGTGCATGTCAAGGTGAAAGACAGGTAGACCTTTCTTTCTTGTTCTGTACAGGAAGAATATGAATAGATCCCTATAGTTTTCTCAGGTGAGATTTGAGTCTTGTGGAATCTTCAGTGTGGAACATTTTGAGATGTCCATGATGGCATCATTTCAGTGCATTATTTTCTTTGCAAAACATTTGCTCTTTATTTCTGACTTATTAAAGATCCTTTTTTTATTATGTGTAAAAGGAGGAAATAGTAATAAAGAGTGATTAACTGAAAATATTCAAGCTGTCAATGGTTTCATTTCACTTAAATCCACAATCAATTTCCACAGAAAGAGTAGTCAAGAAATCAAACAATGTACTGCATTGGACAGATATACTTCAAAGGACCTCTTTAATGTGTTCAACAGCAAAGATATAATTCTGAGGACTGATCTAATCTATGATGGCATTTTCAACTGCTTCATATGTATGTGAAAACTGGCAATGAATAAAGAAGAAAAAAAATGAATGGATGCCTTTGAATTATGGGGCTGGCAAAGAATATTGAATATACCATGTACTAACAGAGCAAACAAATCTGTCTTGGAGTCTAGCCAGAATGCTCATTAGAAGTGAGGATGGTTAGACTTTGTCTCATGTACTTTGGACATGTTATCAGAAGGGACCAGTCCCTGGAGATGGACATCATGATTAAGAAAGGGTCAGTGAAAAGGAGATGATTTGACACATTAGCTACTTCAATGGACTGAAACATAACAAAGATTGTTAGGATGGCTAATGTCCAGCCAGTGTTTTGTTCTGATATGATTATGAATTGGAACTGATTTGATGGCACCCAACAATGACCTCAGGAGAGAAACCTCATTTTGACATCCCTGAATAATTATCAGTAATTCTGTGAAGCTGGCAGTAGCATGCTCATTTTACAGATGAAGAAACTGAGGTTCAACGAGATGAAGTGCACTGCCCTTGGAAAGACAGACTGGGATCCTGAACCTCTGGTCCCAAATCTTGTTGGGTTTAGAAATTCTGCTTTCTTCCTTCCACTCTAGAGAAGTGAGACCTGAGGCCTCACTGCTAGTGTACTTCTTCCTGTCCCTGACTCCTAGGTCCTAAGCTCTCAGTGTCTTCTAGCCTGCTCCCACCCTTCCCTTCAGTTCCTTAGCGATTCTAAAGCTTGGGGCATTGTAGCCATCTGATCTTGCTTCCAGACTACGCTTCTCCTGAGCATAGTTGGAATCGTGTATCCTGCCAGTGCTGTGAGTACTATGTGTGTATGCATGCCTGCATGGAAGGGATGGCTGAGATTTGGATTTCTTTTTAAACATGGTAGAGAGCCAAGAGTGGGGTTCTTATTCTACTTCTCTGTGGTCCAGGCTTGGAACGGAGATGGGCAAACACTTGCTGCTCCCTGGTGTGCTCCTGTCCCTTCCTCTGATCACAGCCTGGACGACTTTCCACTGCATGATGACTGAAGGCTCTCGGATGCCTCTGATATCTCGATACTTCGCGCTCTGCCGGTTGGCTTCCAGCCTGTCCTTCCTTGCATCATGCGTTGCAGTGAGTAACCTAACACAGGCCTTGAAGGCTGTGCCACCGAACATAGAGGGTCTCTGTCTCTCTGGTTCTATTTCTGTCCTGCCCCCAGATGCCTTTTCCCAATTCCCTGAGCTCAAAAGCCTGGTGCTGAACCTACGTTCCATTCAGCTCCTACCAGGTGCCCTCCGGGGCTTGGAGCAGCTACAGCAGATTTCTTTCTTTGGCATCCCCACAAAAACAGATTTTCTCTATTTACCGCCTGAAGCCTTTGGCAACTTGAGCTCCCTCCAGAGCCTGACTTTCTCGAGTATCTGCCTGAATGGGAGCTTGGGTGTCCAGCTGCCTCCCAGTCTACAACAACTGGTAGTACACAACAACTGCTTTAGGAATGTGGGGATGCTGACTGATATTTTCCCAGACCTGGTGCTGGGCTCCTCCTCTGAGGATGCTCAGTCCCTGGACATTTTGGACTTGTCATTCAAACACCAGCTGAACTTGAGCAGCCCTGGAGCCCTGCAGGGCCTCCAGCTGAGGGCTCTGCATCTGGGAAACATATATACGGAGGCAGCTGCTGTGGCAGAGCTGGGGTTGCAGAGGCTGGAGGTCCTGTCTATGGTGAGAACTGAAATCGCTGAGCTGCCTGCCAGGCTAATTGCCCACTTTGGGCTGCAAAAGCTGTATTTCAGACATAGTCGGCTAAGGCGCATAGCTCCAGAGTCTCTGGCTTCCTGCCACAGCCTAAAGAGCTTGGATCTTGGCAACAATTATCTGACTGACCTGCCACCGGGCTTCCTGGCTGCCATGCCCAGACTTCAGATATTAAACCTGACCACCAACCAACTGAAGATTGTCATGCTGTGTATGAATGGGGCAGGGGCTGAGTCAGGATTGTGGGTCCTGGATCTATCCAACAACCAGCTAAAAAGCATACACCCAGACACCTTCTCCTGTTTGCCTCACCTGCGGGAGCTGCTACTTCAGGAAAACCAACTGTCTCACCTGGATGACCAGATGTACCAAGGTCTGAAGAGGTTGGAGACATTGAACTTGAGTGGAAATCAGCTGGCAGCCCTGGGCGAGAACTGGCTGGCTTCTCTGCCTGCGCTGACCACTCTAAACCTGCTAGACACCTACATGGTGCTGAACTCGACCTGGGACTTCGGGTCCCTAGAAAAGCTGCATCATTTGAGACTGAAACTCCCCTCAGAGTCTCCCAGGATATTGTCTCTGCCTGTGGGGCTGTCCAGCTTGGAGCTTCATGCAGTCTCGGGCATGAAACCTTTCAAGCTGGTTCCTAATGTTTTTCCAACCTTACAGACCCTGACCCTAAAAGGCTGGGGACTGCAGCTGGGGTTCCAAAATGTTTCTGAGATCTTTCCGGCCCTTTACCAACTCTCTCTGCTTGGCAATAGGTTGGATGATCTCTGTTCTCAGGACACCTCCAGCTTTTTCCTCTGGAAGCTTCCTGGGCTCAAGCAGCTGAGGGTGAGGGGGAACGGGCACAGCCTCAGACCCTGCCGCATCACAGGGCTGCCCAACCTACAGGAGCTGAAACTAGAGGATCTGCAGTCTCGAACCCGACCGCGTCCAGTGAAGTTTGAGGAGCTGGTGGGCAAGTTACCAAGGCTCGAGGTGCTAAAACTATTTCGAACAGGGCTGGAGACATTGTCTGCTGCTGCTTTCCAAGGCCTGGGCAGTCTCCAGGTCTTGGTGCTGGATTGGGAGAACGGCCTTGTGCTGGATAGCAGCCTCCAGGAACACAGTCCCCAGATGCCTCAGTACATTTATTTTCTGTTTGCATCCTTGGCCTGCCAGTGTACCAATGCCTGGATAAGGACCTGGATCGAGCAGACCCCCAGAACATATGTGTACTTAACACAATCCCAGTTATGCCAGGCAGAAGCTAGGGGTCTTTCCAAGAGTTCCCTTTTCCCCTTTCTCCAGAGCCACTGTTCTGAGACCCTGGGGCTAGCGCTCTTTTTGGGTAGCTCTGCCCTACTGTTTCTGTTGACCTTCTTGCCCTTCCTAAAGGACACCAGGAACTGGGCCCTCTATCTCCAGACTTTGTTTAGGGCTTGGTTCCAGGGCGTGAGGGGCCAGAGGGATGAGAGAAACCAGTTCCTCTATGATGTGTTCGTATCTCACTGCAGACAAGACCAGGACTGGGTGGTAAGAGAGCTGCTACCCACTCTGGAGGGTTGCCCTCCCACTGGCTGGGGACTGCGGGCCTGCCTCCCTGAGCGGGATTTTGAGCCAGGCAAGGATGTGGTGGACAATGTGGCAGACAGCATGATGAAGAGCCAGGTCACACTTTGTGTACTGAGTCCACAGGCCCTGCGCACACCTCGCTGCTGCCTGGAGCTCCGCCTGGCCACCTCCCTCCTGCTGGCTGCCCCCTACCCACCAGTGCTGCTGGTGGTCTTCCTGGAGCCTGTCTCCCGCCACCAGCTCCCCCGCTACCACAGACTGGCCCGGCTGCTCCGCCAAGGAGACTATCATGTATGGCACGAGAATGATGAAAGGAAGGACAAGTTCTGGGCTTGGCTGAGGGGCAGGTGCATGTGTGTTGGAGGATGAAGGTAGAGAAACACAAGACAGCCTGACAACAAGTTATACATGAGGACATGAGATTGCATTCAGCTCCTGGTGGGAGGTGCAGGGATGGTCAAAGGGTCAAATATAGGGAACACAGATTTTGGGAAGGTTCTAGAGGCTGAATGAGAATATTTGTGGGGGGGATGTCAGGTATGTGATGTGACCTCAAGATCTCCAAATTATCAATAAATTACTAAGTCTGTGAAATGCTTGGCTTGACTGGACTATTTAAAAAAAAAAGGAAATTCACATGAGACAGAAGGGGCCCAGGAATGGAAGTCCATGGAAATTCATGGAAAGAGAACAGAATCATCTTCAAATAGTAAATGAGGATCAGGTCAAGCTCGATCAAATCTTCAAGGGGTAGAGGGACCCCTTTTGTCATCTGGGTTATTTTGTTGTTGTTGTTGTTAAGTGCTGTCTCTTCAGTTCTGACTCATAACAACCCTGTATAGGGTTTCCAAGGAGTAGCTGGTGAGTTTGAACTACCCATCTTGTGGTTCAAACTGATTTTGCAATCCAGTGCATTAGCCCACAGCGCCACATCAGGTCTCCGGGATATAGGATTGGTAACTGAGGACCACAATATTGGACAGCTGAAACTGTCCAGGCAGCAGCAGACTGATTGTTCCCTCAAGAAAAACCTAAAGAAATGTTCACATCTGTTGCATTGTTTGATCCTCATAGCAACTCCTCAAGGAGAAGACCACCCCTTTAGCATTTTGCACTCTTTGCCTTACTAAAGGACTTGTCGCTCCCAAGATGCCATGCTTTTCTATCTCTTTGACTTCGCATGTGTTGCTCCTTCCCCCAAGAGTACTCTTTCCTTTGGAGAACTCCAAGGAGCTCTGGTAGTGTAGTGGTGACAGTCCAATGCTGATCCTAGAGCACAACACCAGGACAGCAAATACATGTATACTGCAAACGTATGCTCAGACATTTCCTACTCATTGGGATACTTGAGTAGTAAGAGTTTGAAAAACCAAGACCTGGGGACAGGGATCAGGTCTGATTCATCTCTGCATTCTTAGAGACTAAGGTTGAACCTTATTTGAAAAAGTTACTTTGTTTTCATTCATTATTTGACATCATTAATGAATGATGTTGTTGTTAAGTACTGTCGAGTCGATTCTGACCCATAGTGACCCTGTATAGGGTTGCCGAGGAGCAGCTGGTAAGCTTGAATCGCCAACCTTGCAGTTCAAACGGCTTTGCAGTCTGGCGCATTAACCCACAGTGCCACACCAGGACTCCATTAACTAAATTACCACACAATAAATTGGACTCCTGGTGTGATGCTGTAGGATCAGCACCGAACTGCAAACCACAAGGTTGGCAGTTCAAACCCAACGGCTGTTCCTTGGAAACCCTATACAGGATCTCTGTGAGTCGGAACCAACTCGATGGCACTTAACAGCAACTGCAGAGAGGCTGACACAGCTCAGATAGAGTTCCCATTGAAGATTGTAGAAGGAATGCTTGCAAATCAAATCCTGGTGGGTGCTGCGCAAGAGAAGTAGAGTCTGCTTCAGGCTCTGTCACTTATTTGTGTATGACACTGGGAAGGGCACTTGGCCTCTTAGGGACTTCATTTTGTCTTCTGTAAAATGCAAAGGACAAAGACCAAGGGAAACCCTAGACTAATTCTAGTCTGGATTTCGGGTGAAGGGCGCCCTCTTGTGTCCAAATGGTGTACTTCACTCTCTGTGCACCGTTGCCTCCACGCCACTCCAGGGCAAGCCTTAAGCCTACGCTGCATAGCAGCCTTTTCAGCTTCAGGTCCTGATACTTTCTCAAATGTCTTCTTACCCTGTTTCCCAGTCCTCCCCACTGTATCTTTCACCCCTGGCTCTGTGACCTCTTCTACCTGTAATGTGGGGCTGAGAAGAAACCTTGGAAGTCATATACCCAGAGGTTCAAATCCCAGCCCTGGCACATGTTGGCTATTTCCCCTTGGAAGTTGTGGATAATAATACCAACTATATAGGACTGTATGGGACTTCAATAACAAGTAGTGCTTATATTTGTTATTACACTTTTGGAGCAAAATCACACATTAAGACAAAACATGTTTCACAGAGGTGGAAGAATGTGAAGTGGCCTTTATGACCCAGATATGGAATTCCCCTAGTATTAACACCAGGCAACATGAATCGAACATTTAACATATACTAACTAGGTGCTGTGGAGTCAAGTCAGACTCATGGAGAACCTATGTGTTTCAGAGTAGAAAGACACGCCACTGGGTTTCCCAATGGATGTGATCATTTGGAAGTACATTGCTTGGCCTTTCTTTCAAAAGGATTAGAACTACCAACATTTTGGTTAGTAGCTGAGTACCACCCAGTTACTACAAACATAATACCAGATTTTGTTGTTGTTGTTAAATGCCATCGAGTTGGTTCCGACCCATAGTGACCCTGTATAGGGTTTCCAAGGAGCAGCTGGTGAGCTTGAACCGCTGACCTTGCAGTTCAAACGACATTGCAGCCCAGTGCATTAACCCACAGTGCCAATCAACAGCTACTAATTACTAAATTCAGACTACGTGCCAGACATGTGCCAAGTTTGTTGTTGTTGTGGTTTAGGTGCTATTGAGTCAGTTTCCACTGTATGCACAGCATAGCAATTCTATGTACAACAGAACTAAACACGGTTTAGTCCTGTACCATCCTCACAACTATTGTTACATTTGAAACCATTGTTTTCACCACTGTGCCCATCCATCCCGTTAGGTGTCTTCCTCTTTTTCTCTGACCCTCCATTTTACCAAGCACGATGCCCTTCACCAGGAACAGGTCCCTCCTGATAAAGTAGCCAAAGTATGAGAGCTGAGGTCTTTACATCCTGGCTCTAAGGTGCATTCTGGCTGCACTTCTTCCAACACAGATTTGTTTGTTCTTTTGGCAGTACTTTTAATGTTCTTCTCCAACACCATAATTCAAATACATCGATTCTCTCGGGTCTTCCTTATTATTCATTGTCCAAATTTCACATGTATATGAGGTTACTGAAAATACCATGGCTTGGGTCAGGCGCACCTTAGTCCTCAAACTGATATCTTTGCTCTTCAACACTTTAAAGAGGTCTTGTGCAGCAGATTTGCCTAATGCAATACATGGTTTGCTTTCTTGACTGCTGCCTCCATGAGTGTTGATGGTTGATCCAAGCAAACTGAAGTCTTTGACAACTTCAATCTTTTTTTCCATTTATCACGATGTGATCTATTGGACCAGTGGTGAGGATATTTGGTTTCTTTACATTGAGGCGCAGCTCATACTGAAGGCTTCATCACTAAGTATTTTAGGTCATCTTTGCTTTCAGCAAGCAAGGTTGTATCATCTGAAGATTCAAGGTTGTTAATGAGCCTTGCTGCAATCCTGATGCTACATTCTTCTTCATATAATCCAGCTCTTCAGAGTATTTGCTCAGTTTACAGATTGGATGAGTGTGGTGAAAGAAAATAACCCTGGCGCACACCTTTCCGGATTTTAAGCCATTCCGTGTCCACTTCTTCTGTTTGAACCACTGTCTCTTGGTCTATGCACAGATTCTCACAATACTATTAATTCTTTCAATATGGTTATCAGGTGATATCATTATTAATATTCTCATTTCAAAGATGAGGAAACTGAGGCAAAAAGATGGTAAGTATTTTGCCCAAGGCTCCACAACTAGTAAGTGACAAGGTCTGCGTCCTGTATTTGGAAGTAAGAAGTTTCAGATCCAAGCAATTTTGATTCCAAAGATTATGCTTCACTTGTAGTTTTGTGTAAATCGTAACACCTGTACAAGGTGTTGTTGTTGTTAAGTGCCGTCGAGTCGATTCTGACCCGTAGCGACCCTGTATAGGGTTTCGAAGGAGCAGCTGGTGAGCTTGAACCAGTAGGCTCTACTATATTCTTACATTTCACAGATGGAAGCCAGGGACAAAAGAGATGCGTTAATTTCTTCAAGGTCACATAGCTAGGAAGCAGTTGGGTTAAGATTTAGATGCAAGTCTGACTACAAAATCCACACTGTCATCCTCACACTACTTAAAGGATTTGCAGTGGTTCAATGCCACTGCATTATATTAAGACTCTTCTACTATAATGATGCCCTCCCTATACAGGGTCGCTATGGGTCAGAACTGACTCGATGGCACTTAACAACAACAACATTAAAATGATGTAACAGTCTTTCAACATCCACTAAGTGCTAAATTCTGCACTAATGAATTTACATAATAATAACTAACAACCAACACACATGCAAGTAAAATTTTGCTGAAAAGAATTAAAAACCAACTGCAATAGTACACTGACAGGGAACCGTCAGAGGTTCAAGCCAGACTCAGATGAGGACATGGACTAAGGAATGTCACTGCTGATGTCAGGTGGATCTTGTCTGAAAGCAGAGAATACCAGAACTATTTTTACCTGTGCTTCATCAACTACGCAAAGACTTTCAACTGTGTGGATCATGACAAACTATGGATAACATTGAGAAGAATGGGTTTTCCAGAACACGTAATTGTGATTATGAGTAACCTGTATATAGACCAAGAGGCAGTCATTTGAACAGAACAAGGGGATACTGAATGGTTTAAAATCAGGAAAGGTGAATGTCAGGGTCATATCCTTTCACCATACATATCAATCTGTATGCTGAGCAAATAATCTGAGAAACTGGAATATATGAAGAAGAACATGGCATCATGATTGGAAGAAGACTCATTAACAACCTGCAATATTCAGATGATACAACCTTGCTTGCTGAAAGTGAAGAGGATATAAAATACTTACTGATAAAAATCAAAGAGCACAGCCTTCAGTATGGGCTGCACCTGAAAGTAAAGAAAGTAAAATCCTTACAGCTGTATCAGTAAATAAAATCGTGATAAATGGAGAAAAGATTGAAGTTGTTGAAGACTTCACTTCATTTGGATCCACTATTAAACCTCATGGAAGCAGCAGTCAAGAAATCAAACAACGTATTGT